AACCTCTCGCTTGGCCCCAGGCTGGATTATCCCCAGAGCTGATAAGAAGCTGCAGCTGATGCTGTTGGCGGGTGGAGAAGGAGCTCCAGCTGCACCAAATCACCCAGGAGGGAAAGGGGCCAGAAAATGGTTGTGCTGGGTGAAACATCAGAACCCTGATGGCAGCGATGCTGCTTCTGACACCAGTTTGGCCTCAGCAGCAAATGCAGCTGGGCGGTGTGGGCAGGGCAGGTGGGATGAGGTCCCAACTGCAGGTGTGGATCTGGGCATCGTTGGGCTCCCGCTGGGCAAGTGCCATGGTGATGTGGTGACCCGGTGGGTGGGTGGTCCCTGAGGGGGTTACACTCCTGGCACAAGCTGTACCCCCGCTCACTGCACCCCAGACATGGACCTGCACTCTTCCCCGGGGCACCCACACAGCTCTGCTGGACGTTTCGCTTTGCTCCGAGCGCTGAACCAGGGCAGGAGCACCAAGGGGGTTGTGGCAGGGACTGGGATGGGCACCAGCCCCCCACCACGTCCCAGCCCGAGCCCCGCGGCTGAGGGGAAACATGAAGCAGAGACGAAAGGAAGGAAAAAACTCCAAGGAAGCTGGAAGCTCTCGACATAGTTAAAAACCAACATCACTTCAAAATAGATGTGATTGCGCTCCTTGTGAGTCATCGAGCAGAGACACCAAGATTGCTTTGTGCCAGGGATGAGCCCGGGCGCTGATTGTGTGCCGCCCGGATTTGTATCAAACAGCCCATGGATGGCATGTCAGAGTTTACAGCTCGCATACATTTTCCACAGTGAGCTTTGCAAAATGTATCAATGTAATCTCTGCCTCCTATATTCCGTGTTGATTAGACACGATTTCTGGCTGGATTTTCAGAAAGCTCAAGTGCTTTTTTAATCACTACAGAAGCTCATTATTGCTTTCCAGTGACTCTTATGTCCTTCACTTCTCCTTTCAGATTAGAGTCTATAGTCAGATGAATATTGGATGATTTCATTACATACAAATGCAATCAACAGTTTTGCATAAATTTCTCCTCTTTTCTTGAGTTTCAATTGACCTCAGCACCCGTGGAGGCAGGCGCAATACACATGTAAATGAGCTGGCGTTGCTGCAAAGACACGGATGCGGAGAAACAAGATAAACTGTCAGATAATATTCAGGATTTTTAAGAGATCAAAAAATACTTCCTTGTTCACAGCCCAGCCGTAAAAATGGCACCTTCAGCTGCCGGGGAATTTGCTTTTGTTTTGCTCAGTGTCTGGCTGTGGACCGAGGCCAGGAGCGGCATCGGTGGCTGAGCAGTGCCGGGCCGGCAGTGGCAGTGTGGGGACAGGAGTGGGGTGTCCATGGGGTGTGGGTGGTGGTGGCACGAGGCTCCAGCCAGAGGAGAAGCTGCTTGTGGGGTCTGGGCAGACCACGGTGCCGGGGAGCTGTGCACCACAGCCCAGCACCTGCACAGAGCCAGGTGTGGTGGCTGAGTCCCACCCTTGGCAGGTACCACCATGCTCCTGCTCTACTGGGACCATCTCAACCAGGGGGTGCCGAGTTCAGACCCCCCCAGACCCCCATCTCCCCCCAGGTGGCCCTGGGCATCATCCCCATGGCAGGGGCACCTGCCAGGGTCGGGGCTCGGCCAGACGCTGCCCTCCTTGGCAGGGCACAGGGGAACCACACGTTCCAAATAGATTTAAACTAACGCTCCACGCCAACAATCAGGGCTAATTTAAACAAACTATAATTAAACATAAAGGATCTCTTGCTAGGGAAGTCGGGAGGGGGGGAAAACTGTCAGCAGTGACTTTGGATGTGAAGCCCTTACCTTTAAAAGAACAATTTTTGTGCTAATGTGAGCAATCCAGCACTCCCACACTCGCCTTTGGGGGCCGGTGAGGAAAGAAACTCTTGGGTTTCTTTTGATACCTTTATGTGCTAATCTGCTTAACAGATTTTTAATTAATAGGAACAGAGCACTTTGCAGCCGTGAAATCTATTGGTGTAATTGCCTGGTGGATTAGTCCTATTAACCATACAAATTACCTGTCTCCAGGCCGCCAGCCCCACCGGGGAGCTCCCCACGCTGGACACACCGAGCAGTCCCATTCTGAAGCAATTTTGATAAAATAAACTCTCTAATCAGGTAAATAATTCCATAAGGGAAATTGCTGCCTTCCCTCAGCCCCCCCTCCACTGGGACCTGGCTGCTTCCAGGGGAATGCAACGTGCCTCCAATTACAGACAAACCTCCAGCTCAGAGACCGTTTGGGAGAAGCCCACGGCACACGGGACCCCCTTGAACCACAGCGGCCGAGGAATTAAGGCATTTAAGCTGTCAGCCAGAATCTGGTCCAGCCCCTGATTACCTGGGGGGACACGCCGTGTATTTAGGTTCACGTCCGTTGCAATTTCCTGGCCTCCAGCGTTGATCCCGAATGACTTGAGTCTGTGTCAGGTTCCTGCCCCGGGGTCCCTCCGACACGTGGCCTCGGGCTTGGGGACACTGACCTTTGGGCAATTAAGGACATCCAGGCTGGCCTGAGCCTGGAGAAGTGGAAACGTGCAGCTGCCCCAAAGAGGCGCCGGGTGAGCGGAGCCGCCTGCGCCCATTTCACTGCAGCACTCGGCAAAGCTGCATGGCCAAGCTGGATGCCATCGCTGCCTGGGATGGGTGCCCAGACCCTGGAGTCCCCACCCAGCCCCATCCAGGGGCCTCCATGGGGAGGCCTTTTGTAATTTTGGACCCAAACCTGATGGGGAGTCCCATGGCTTCACTCTGCTCAGACCCCGAGATGGGGATGTGCCGCCCCAGGGGTGTCCCCAGGCAGTTGGGTCGCTGGAACCATGCGTGGTGGGCTCAGCAGGGCACAGGGCATCCGTGCAGTGTCACACGGTGATGCACAGCCCCAACATGCTTCCCACCCAGGTGGCTCCAGACCTGCTGCATCAGCCAGAGCAGTTCTCCACCCTCAGCCCCACGCCCGGGGAGCAGGGACAGGGGATCCCTGCCACACCATGCTGCGAACACGCATGATGGGGACAGCCAGGGAGGAAATTACCTGGGGAAGTTAAACCCCAGCAGTGACACGCAGGTGCCCAGTGCTGT